TCATAACAAAGATACTAGCCAGTCCCCCCAGCCTTGCACCCCAGAAATGTGTCATCTTACACTGCTCAAGACTCCCTGGGATAGTACAACTTGGTTAATTAGTTCTCCACTCTGAAAAAAGGCAATGAATGTGCATCCTCCCTGGTTAACCTGCACTGAGATTCTCTAAGCATGTCAGCCAAATCCACACTGTTTTAGGTAACATATAAAACAGATTTATTAGCTGCACAAAGATTTTAAGTGATATAATTAGCAGGCATTCAGAGCAAAATTGGTTACACAAGAAATAAAAATAAATGGACAGTCTAAAGTCTAACTTTAACAAATTAAGCAAGATTTGAATCAAACAGCTTTTCTCACCCTAATGAATGTTGCAGACAGCTCATAATCCTTAACACCAAGGCCGTATTCCCTTTCAGCCTAGCGCTAATCTCCCCAGTCCAAAGTCTTTGTTTTCCAGAAAATCTTCCAAGTGTTGAGATCTGGGAGGAGAAAGGCCAAGCGATGTCATTGTCCCTCTCTCATACTTGCTTCCAGAAACTAGAGAGATATTTGCTGTGAAGTGGGGATTAGGCAGCCCTCATTGCATACATGATGTCACTGAGGAGTCTCTGGGATAACAGAGTGTTCTTGAAGAGCCATCAATGCATGTCTGGTCAGTGATAGTTGCCTCATCCTCACAACATATTTCATTAACCTAGATAGCAGTACTTCATAACTTCGCATAAAATGACATTACACAGAATCCAACAGGCTATTAATGTTCAGCAAATTAAAACTTAAATGATACCTCACAATACATACTTTGTACAAAACTGACCATAATCATTTGGCAATTGTGAATATGGGGGTTCCAGAGAATAGAGTGTCAGTGACACAAACAGAACATCTGTGGGACACTAAGGCTATGTCTACACGGGCGGGTTCTTGCACAAGAACATCTTGCGCAAGGGTTCTTGTGCAAGAAGTCTTGCGCAAGAAAACGTCCACACTGCCATGTGTGAGCTGTGCTTTTGCACAAGAGTGCCCATGGCCGTGTGGATGCTTTCTTGCGCAAGAAAGCGCTGATGGCCTTTTAAGCCATAGGACTTTTTTGCGCAAGAAATCCCTGCTGAGGGTCCACACTGCCCACCTGCACAAGAGCTCCTGCGCAAGAGGGCTTACACCTGTTAAAAAAGAGAGTAGCTCTTGTTTAGGGAGCCGTCTCTTATCACGCCTTATTGTACATTTCCTTGCACGAGAGTGGGCGGGCAGTGTAGACGCTCTGCGGATTCTTGCGCAAAAACTGCCATACTTGCGCAATAACCCTCCAGTGTATTCATAGCCTAAGATTGCATCTCAGTGATACTCCCTATAGCTCTTAGAACAAGACAAAAATTTCCCTCAAATCTATCTTTTCCTAGCTAATGAGTTAAGAACAGCTTTTCTTTGAGTAGGTGCAGCTATTTATTTTATGTAAGCATGCATGCATCCAGCGCACTAAAGCCGAAGATCTTTGCCCAGGGGTATCCATCCTGCTGCCCTAGCCTTTCTCTTGCAGGATCTGGATCCTGGCTTGACTTGGCCCATGAGGCTTCAGGCTTCTCTGCCACCTGCAACAGGGCAAGCTGGTTTTCCAGTCCCACAGCGAGTCTCTGAGCCTGAGTACCCCCCACATGGCTGCAGCATGAGTGCTGGCTTCCTACTGTGGGGAGAGTAGTGGGGAGATGGCACTAAAGCGCCTATGTGGCTGACTCTACCTGGGAGGGAGAGTTAGTGGCTCTATGTGCTGTCGTTCTCTCGATCTTCTGCTGGGGAAACAAGGCCAGGCTCTACCCCCCCCATCGCTCCCATTGGCCAGTAATCACAGCCACTGGGAGCGGCATGGGAAGTGCCTGCAAGTGAAAAGCAGTGCAGAACTACCTGTGTTCCACTGGGAGCTGCACCAGATAAACACCCCAATTCCCGGTCCTCTCTTGCACCTTTCCTCTCATCCAGATCCTGTACCTCAACCTCCTCCTGCACCATACTTCTTGCCCGGAACCCAAATCCCCGTCTCCAGGCTGCCTTGCCATGCACTGAACCCTCTCATTTTTGGCCCACCTCAGAGCCTATGGTGTCCCAACAAAAATATTCTAGCTCTAGGCCCCCAGAAAAGTTAATCCTGCCCTGTGGGAAAGCCCTGAGTCTCAGCATGCTAGGGAACCCTGGCACCCCAAGTTGCAAGAGAGAAGCAAGTGTCGTTTTTCTCCCTTTCTCTTGGGGAGCCAAATCAGTGAGGGTTTTTTTGGGGGGTGGGGTGGGGAAAGAGGATTGCTTCTTACTTGTGGGTGGTGGCACCCAACTGATTTTTCTGTGGATCTGTGGCTCCGGATCCAAAAAAGGTTCTCCACCCCTTATGTAAGGGCAGCGCTACCCCAATCTCCCTCACTGCTTTCTTACCTCCTGCAGCTAGAGTCAGAGCTCAGTGAGGTGTGCTCACGTCACATTTTCAGTCTGAGTTGTCTGAGAAATTTTTCTTGTGGCAATTTAGGTTTAATTCAGTGTGAGTTTGAGTAGTTCTCTGCCAACTTTCTAATGGCAGAAAACCAAATACCCTTGCCCTGCCTACTGCCCCGAGGTCATGTCCCTTCTCTGAGGCCCTGCCCTCGCTCGCTTTCTTCTCTTTTCTCACTCATTTTCACCTGAATGGGGGTGCAGGCTTTAGAGTAGGGATGAAAGGTTTGGAGTGCAGGAGGAGATTCCAGGCTGGGGTTGGAGGTTGGGGCATAGGAGGGGATTTGGGGTGAAGGCTCCAGGTAGCCCCTTAAATAACAGCCACACCAGCACTGCCCTAGCATTTCTCAGGCCTCAAAAACAGCTTTGTCTGCCATGAACCCTGAAGACATGTCTTGGCTAGTGTATTGAGGACAAATGTTTTCCTTTTCTTTAGAATGGAGGGAAGAGAGGGAGAGAATTCCCCACAAGTGATACCCCACACATCTCATTGCTGCCCTGTTCTACTGCTCCCCAGTGGAGCCCAAATCACAGTAGTTCCAACGAGAGCACTGCTGCAGGCCCCTTCCTTATCCTTGCCCTCTACCCCCTTTATTTGCAATGACCCCCAGCTTCTCTCCTTCAACTCCCCCAGCCTGGCCACTGGCTGGGACCTCCACAGCCAGCTGCCACCAACTCTGCTGTGATCTGTTCCTAGGGAGAGCAGCCCAAGTGTAGCCCTATGCTTCTTTGCAGCCCATTCATCCCTGGGAGGAGACTGACAAGCTCGCAGCCACTTACCTGTTGGTCACATGGTCATGAGACAAACCTAGTGCAGCAGTCCCTGGGGAGCAGGCTATGGGGCAGGTGGCAGCAGTTGTCCTGCCTTTTCCTCCCCCTGCGCCTCCCCCCTGGCGTTGGCTGAGCCACCTCCTTTTTCTGATCCCATGAGCCGGTGAGTAGCAGGCTTGGCAGGGAGGAGGATGAAAGCATTTTTTAAAGGCCACACAGCCTATTCTACAGAGAGTCCCTGGCCACCATGATGGCTGCTGCCTGGGCTTAACCCTGCTGGCTCCAGCCAACTGCCTTTCCCAGCCCCTCTGCTTGGATCCCACTGCCTTCTAGGGCTTGCACCACCCCTGAATTCTAGAGAGAGTTTTGCTGCAGACCCCTTTCTTGTCCCCTGCCAGTAAATGGACTTTTAATAGGCCATCAGCAGTGCCGATTGGAGCTCCCAGGGTCCCTTTTTATGTGGACATTCTGGTTAAAAAAAAAGACAGATATCTGGCTACCCTAATCAGGGTTCAAGCACTGTCCATTGTGGGGATGGGTTATCACCAGTTGTGATCTCCACGTAGGGTACTTGTAGTGTCTCATCTGTAGAAAACATCAAGAAAACTCCAGTGGTGAGAGTCTTAGAGCTGAAGCAGCACTTCCTTAAGCAGGCCCTGAGGTCTGCTTCACCACTAAGGCCCTTGTCTGATTGATGTTCATTTGTGTAACCAGCAAGTAATACTTCTCCACATTGGCACCCTGTTGTTTTCCCATGAGGAAGAGAAGCCATTTTCCCTCCTTCAATGTGGTGAGAAACAGATCCCATAAGACTAAAGGGGGCCATGCCATGGTCAAACGAAACTTTTCATCACCTTCCGAGAGGAATGCTGATCGGTATCATACTCCTTCCTGTAGATGGGATGAAGCAAGTCTATTCAACCCGTCCCTTCTCCTGCTCTGAGATCAGCAAGAGCTCATTCTATTGACTTCAGGTTTAGCTATGGGGCATCCATTGAATCTGGTGCTAAGGACGGAAGCACCAGCACCTACTATCTCCATACCAGGCCTTCATTCTGATTTGCCCTTTAGTCCCTGACTTCATTAGTTCAGGAGCCTGCCAATTCTATCGTTCCCTTGGCACTTTCTGGCTGTGTTGCAGAGTTGCCAAGTTCATATAATCTATCAGCTGCTTTGTATAGAATATTACTGGCTTTTCACTATACTTTTTCTTTTTCATTGCAGATATGAGCATATACTAATGGCACCTGACCCAGTACCAGTATATGCCCTGAAACTGTTGGTAGCTCTGACTGAACATAGCCCTGCTCTTACTAGGTAACACAATTACGTTTTCTTTCTAATTAGAATTTTTCTCATTTCATCCTTATTCGCTATTCTGTTAGAAATTATGAATTATATAGATGTAAGTGCAATTCATACTGATGAGATTGTGTAGAAACACAGATCTGGTCACTGAAAATACTTTTCTCATACTTAGTGTATTTGCTACAGGTAGAAGGTTTGTAAGGAATAGTTTTTGATCTGAAGTCTGCTGTATTACAGTTTTATATGTGCTGGATTATATTAATTATCTTTTAGCACAGTTAAATATAAATGGAAATTAAAAAAACAGTTCCTGAATGTACTGTACAAATACATAAATTTATCTTACTCTGTGTAAAATATTACATATGGCGCAATCATATTACATAGGCTAATAATTCTGAAATCTCCGTTTAAGGGCAGAGATAGGGTCCAGAATGACTTAGACAAATTGGAGGATTGGGCCACAAGAAATCTGATGAGGTTCAACAAGGACAAGTATAGAGTCCTGCACTTGGGACGGAAGAATCCCAAGCATAGTTAAAAGCTGGGGACCAACCGGTTAAGTAGTAGTTCTGCAGAAAAGGACCTGGGGGTTACAGTGGATGAGAAGCTGGATATGAGTCAACAGTGTGCCCTTGTAGCCAAGAAGGCTAATGGCATATTAGGTTGCATTAAGAGGAGCATTGCCAGCAGATCCAGAGATGTCATTATTCCCCTTTATTCGGCTTTGGTGAGGCCGCATCTGGAGTATTGTGTCCAGTTCTGGGCCCCCCACTACAAAAAGGATGTGGACACATTGGAGAGGGTCCAGCGGAGGGCAACCAAAATGATTAGGGGGCTGAAGCATATGACTTATGAGGAAAGGCTCAGGGACTTGGGTCTGTTTAGTCTGCAGAAGCGAAGAGTGAGGGGGGATTTGATAGCAGCCTTCAACTTCCTGAAGAGAGGTTCCAAAGAGGATGGAGAGAGGCTGTTCTCAGTAGTGACAGATGGTAGAACAAGGACCAATGGTCTCAAGTTGTGGTGGGAGAGGTCCAGGTTGGATATTAGGAAAAACTGTTTCACTAGGAGGGTGGTGAAGCACTGGAATGGGTTACCTAGGGAAGTAGTGGAGTCTCCATCCCTAGAGGTGTTTAAGTCTCGGCTTGACAAAGTCCTGGCCGGGTTGATTTATTTGGAATTGGTCCTGCCTAGAGCAGGGGGCTGGACTTGATGACCTTCTGAGGTCTCTTCCAGTTCTATGATTCTATGAAATTTCTTTTCCCTCACTAGCTGCTGAAAAGTGAGCATTTCATTTCATTCTTCATTTCTGATCATTGTCTTGTGAATTCTACCAATAATGTAATGACTGTAACAAATAGGGTTTCTGTATGTTTCTGTATGGCACTTCAGTTAGTCTATAAGGTGCCACAGGACTCCTCGTCGCTTTTGCAGATTCACACTAACACGGCTACCCCTCTGATGTATGTTTCTGAACCTTTTAAAACCAAATTGCTTACAGTTAACATAATATACCATCAAGCTGTGACTAAATCAGTCTTGCTAGCCCGATTCGTAAGAGAAAGCTTCTCTACCCACCTTCTGGTCACCTGAAAGATCAGGATCCCCATAGACAGACACATGCATTCACCTGCATGCACACTAACACACACATGGTCCAGCTACTTCCTGTTCCTCCCTTTTCCATCCAGATAAACTTTCTCCTTCCATCCCCTCTGTCATCATTTGCAGAGGGAGTCTTCTATAGACAACGACCCCTTTTCTTCCAAGCAGCAGGACAAAGTCCCATGATGCAAAGTTCTGATCAAAACAATCTTGGATACTTAAATTAATCCATATTTAGACAGTTGACAAGTAGCCTAATTTCATAAGTTCTGAATATTCATAGCTCCCTTAAAATTTGTGTGAAGCCTTGGGTGTTCAGTGCTTCTGAAAAATCAGACTGTTATGAATTTAGATATCTAATTTAAGCACTGAAGTTTTAAAATATCGATGTGTTGTTTGATTCCCAACTCTTTAGTTGTTTGAAAATATCATTTTGTGATGATTATTTCTTTCATGAATCTTTTCTGCTATTCTATATGCTCTAAGATATTATCTTTCATCCATGAAAGGCAAATTACCACTTTTTAAACTGCTGGTTTTCTTTAGGGATAGAATCATAGAATATTAGAATTGGAAGGAACCTTGAGAGATCATTTAGTCCAGTCCCCTGCCCTCATGGCAGGACCAAGCACCATCTATCTAGGTCATCTCTGATAGATGTCTATCCAAACTGCTCTTAAATATCTTCAGTGATGGAGATTCCACAATCTCCCTAGGCAATTTATTCCAGTGTTTAACAACCCTGAGATTTAGGAAGTCTTTCCTAATGTCCAACCTAAGCCTCCCTTGCTGCAGGTTAAGCCCATTGCTTCTTGTCCTATCATCAGAGGCTGAGGAGAACAATTTTTCTCCCTCCTCCTTGTAACAGCCTTTTCGATACTTGGAAACTGCTATCATGTCCCCTCTGTCTGTTCTTTTCTAGACTAAACAAGCCCATTTCTTTCAGTCTTCCCTCACAGGACATGCTTTCTAGGCCTTTAATTATTTTTGTTGCTTTTCTCTGGAACGCCTCCAATTTTTCCACATCTTTCTTGAAATGTGGTGCCAACTGGACACAATACTCCAAATGAGGCCTAATCAGTGCAGAGTGGAGCGAAAGAATGACTTCTTGTGTCTTGCTCACAACACTCTTGTTAATGCATCCCAGAATCATGTTTGCTTTTTTTGTAAAAGTGTCACACTGACTCATATTTAGCTTGTGGTCCACTATGACCCCTAGATTCCTTTCTGCAATACTCCTTCCTAGACAATTACTTCCCATTCTGTATGTGTGAAGCAGTTTGTTCCTTCCTAAGTGAAGCACTTTGCATGTGTCCTTATTAAACTTCATCCTATTTACCTCAGACCATTTCTCTAGTTTGTCCAGGTCATTTTGAATTATGACCCTATCCTCCAAAGCACTTACAACCCCTCCCAGCTGGTATCATCTGCAAACTTAATAAGCGTACTCTCTATGCCAATATCTAAATCATTGATGAAGATATTGAACAGAACTGGCCCCAAAACAGACCCCTGCGGAACCCCACTTTTTATGCTCTTCCTGCATGGTTGTGAGCCGTTAATAACTACTCTCTGAGAACAGTTGTCCATTCAGTTATGTAGCCACCTTATTGTATCCCCATCTAGGTTGTATTTCCCTAGTTTATTGATAAGAAGATCATGCGAGACCGTTTCAAATGCTTTACTAAAATCTGGGTATACCACATGCACCACTTCTCCCTTATCCACAAGACTTGTTATCCTATCAAAGAAAGTTATCAGATTGGTTTGACGTGATCTGTTCTTAACAAATCCATGCTGGCTGTTACCTATCACCTTATTATCTTCCAGATGTTTGCAGATGAATTCCTTAATTACTTGCTCCATTATCTTTCCTGGCACAGAAGTTAAACTGACTGTTCTCTAGTTTCCTGGGTTGTTTTTATTTCCCTTTATATAGATGGGCACTATATTTGTCCTTTTCAAGTCTTTTGCAATCTCTCCTGCACACACACTAGGCAGCAGTGCAGAGAGTGAGGAGAAGGGGAGGCTGCCATGGAGCAGCATCTGTCCACAGCAGGCCCAGGCTTGCCGCCGACAGAGGCTGCTCTGCAGCAGCAGTCCCTGTCTATGGGAGATCCGAGCTCCCTGCAGACAGAGGCTTCTCCATGGGATGTGGAGCAGCCTCTGTCCAGGGGGAGCTCAAACTTCTCATGGACAGGGGCTGTTGCTGCCCCGTGCTGCTGACTCTGTATCAAAATTATTGGACTTTTAGAGTACTTTTGGTGTTTTGTTTTGTTTTTTGGTAATAGGGTGTCTCTGTGGCAGAAAATTCCACTACAGAGAACTAAAATTGATGTAGTCTTTACATGCCTCCTTTTCTTCAGTTTTTGAAGATTGACACAGAGATGGAACAATTGATATGAAATAGTCAAATGCTGTTTATAAGTCTGCTCTCACTGGAGAGATTAAGTTTAGAAAATATACACTGGTGTTTGTAAACAGTTGTTGCACACGTGTCCTATATCAGTAATGGCTCTGGGTTTAGGCTTGTTATAGAATGAACTAGTCTACACTCTGTCCCTCCATCAATCTAAATTATACAACTTCAGCTAAATGAATACTATAGCTAAAGTCAACTTATTGCAGTTCCTTCTATGTGGTAAGGTCAGCAGGGGCTGCTCTCCTGTGGCCTCTATCTACTCTTCTTATTCTGGTGAAGTACCGGTGTGGATGGGAAAGCACTCTACCCAGGCAGAACAAATTGTTTGTTGGTGGATCGATCACTGCAGCGTTGATCTACTGAGTAGTAAAGACAAGCATAGGTTCTACACTTACTTGCACTAAGTTGTTAATAGCTGCACTGACCTCAGTGGAGTTAGTACAGGTTGAACCTCTTTGGTCGGGGACTTTCTGGTTCAGTAACGTCCGTGGTCTGGCAGGACCATGGATGTAGTTGGACCAGAGAGCCCCGGTTCTGGGCAGCAGAGTCCTGGCGTCCTGGAGAAGTCTAGGGGCTGTGGAGTGCTGGTGGCCCTGGGGCTGGCTATGGAGCTCTGGCAGCTCACGATCAGCAAAGCCCCAGTGACTCTGAGGCAGCGGAGCCCCAGCAACTTCAGGGCAGCAGAGTCCTGGTGGCCAGGAGCCCCGGCAGCTTAGAGCCCTGGTGGTGCACAGCAGCAGAGCCCCAGCATCCCGGAGCAGCTGAGCTCCAGTGGTCCTGGGGCTGTGGGGTCTAGCAGCCTTGAGGCAGAGGAGACCCAGTAGCCCCAGGACAGGCTGAGGAACTGGGAGCCTGGTATCCCAGGGACAGTGGAGCCTGGCAAAGGGGACAACCTCCCCTGGTCTGGCAAACTCCCTCCTTTGGAACTGGTCAGGTCCCAAAGGCGCTGGACCAGGAAGGTCCAACCTGTAGTATAAAACTG